ATACGATAATATAAAAAAAATACGTGTGTAATATTTTTTCATTATCTAACTGACGGACTGATTACATTTATAATTTCCATACCCTGGCAACTACCCTATTGTAGGTCGTCAATTGAGAGTCGCGTTGTCTACGTTTCTTCTCCAGATCTCTTTTCGTATTGTCCTCTAGAAGTATTTACATTTTCATATTTCATAGAAGATAACCACGGTCCAAAATGCTGTTGAATTGGCCAGCATAGCAGAAATTGCTCGCTAAAGTTTTGACTAGAACGCGAAATTTTAAGTATAAATAGGCATCGATTAAGTAAATGAACTCAGTGTGCTAATAAACCAACGATAGAGGAAGGAATCGCCAACCTTCAACTTGTATAACTTAAATTATAAACATCATATAACATAACATCACGCCTTTTATCCCCGAAGGGGTAGGCAGAGGCGCACATTACGCCACTTAATGCAATGTAACACCCACTTTTTCACTATTTATGTTATGAGTCCCATGTAATAGGGGGTGAGAGTATTGCCATATACCGGACACATGTCCAGACTCTGTGCTACTACTGAGATTTTTAAAAACCCAGTAATACATTGCCCGGGAATACCACTCGGCCAACAGTCATATAAGTGGTTTTTTCTCTTTACACTCATCAACTCATTCAACTTAACTTTAAAAAGCAAACATCTTTACCAGCGACCCTAGGCAAGGTGGACCTAACCGTACACAAGCGCTTGGCCGCTATCTCACCTGATGGAAAGCGGCGATGCGACCAACACCTTTCAAGTATTCAAACACGTATCCGTGCCCAGTGAAAAGCATGTTTCAGTGACGTAATAAGAAGGTAAATCTACGTTCTCTTGAAACATTCAGGTAGCACTGTGACTTAGGTACACAAGACTTCAAGCTATACATAACCAGTCTATCATGATCTCGGTTTATACGATGTTTCAGTATATTTCAAGGTCAGTTTACACAGGTTCTTCGTAACTTGATCTGTCATTTTAGCTGCATCATATTTTAATCATGAACTGCATACGAGTGTAAACCCTTGCATTATTGAGCTATGAAACTTCAGTTACACTGTTACAGTTGCTAACATTTCGCCAGTTTTATTACAAAAAAGTAAACTGTGGTGGTGTTCCTACATTTGTCGAGCAAAGCGTTCGGGTCAGAGCCCATTCGTCCCCTAAAATTCGTCCCCCAGCATAAAAGTTGTGGATTCGGCCCCTATATAGGTGCCCATTGGTCTCCTGGTAGGGGACCAATTAATATTTAATAAAAAAAAATATTTTTAAGGTACCCATT